TGTATGATTAGCAGTAATATCTACAGTTTCTCCAGATTTTTTATGAAGCCTAAGTGTAAGTGGTTTTCCAGGTGCAAAAGTTCCCAACCCAAGAATTGACATCTTATCAGTTGGGTCGATTTTATCATAATCTGAAGGATTGGCGAACGTAAGTGGTAAAAGACCTTGCTTTTTTAGGTTTGTTTCGTGAATTCTGGCAAACGATTTAACAATTACGGCACACCCGCCTAAATGACGTACTTCAAGAGCTGCATGTTCTCTTGAAGAACCTTCACCATAATTTTCATCACCGACTACAACCCAAGAGATTCCTAAATTTTATATTATCAATTCAATATAACCGACCAAGGTATTATTCCAAAAAAATAAAAAAATAAAAAAATTAAAATACACACACCTTTAGATTTATAATCTCGAGCAACGTTAGGGACAGCATCATACTGTCCTGTGAAAACATTCTTCACTTTATTAACTGCATCATTCTCAGCATTCACAGCACCAATCAACATATTATTTGAAATGTTGTCTAAGTGACCGCGAAACTTAAGCCAAGGTCCAGCGGCAGAAATATGATCTGTAGTACATTTGCCCTTAACTTTGATTAAAATTTGTGCCTGTTCTATATCCTTACCAGTCCATTTAGAAAATGGTTGCAATAATTGAAGGCGACTGCTTTTGGGATCTACTTGTACTTGAACTGAAACATGATCTTTTGGAGGATATTGATATGTATCTTCACCAGGATCATACCCTCGAGGAGGGAGCTCGGTACCATTCGGACCATCAAATTTGAATGGTTTACCATCAGCACCAATAAGAGTATCAGAAAGAGGATTGAAACGTAGATCACCAGCAAAGACCATCGCAGTGACAATGTCAGGAGAAGTAACAAAGGCATGAGTTGCAGGATTGGCGTCATTACGACCTGTGAAATTTCTGTTATATGAAGTAATAATTGAATTCTTTTCGCCTTTCTTAACATCTTGACGATCCCATTGACCGATGCATGGGCCACAAGCATTTGCTAAAACTATACCACCGGCATCAGTTAATATTTTTTCCTGACCATCACGTGAAATGGTTGCTCGAATTTGTTCAGAACCAGGTGTTATAGTGAATATAGACTTGGCCTTAAGTCCATGATCAAGAGCTTGTTTAGCGATAGAAGCGGAGCGAGTCATATCTTCGTATGAAGAATTGGTGCATGAACCAATCAAACCAACTTTAAGTTCTGATGGCCACCCGTTTTCTATCACAGCATCCTTAAATTTGCTTACAGGTGTGGCAAGATCCGGTGTAAATGGACCATTAATGTGAGGCTCAAGTTCAGATAAATTGATCTCAATTAATTGATCATATTCAGCACCTTCATCAGCGCGTAAATTGTGAGCAAATGACTCAGCATAAGCAGCAATTTCACCGCGTTGAGTAGCACGAAGGAAATCACCCATACGTTTGTTAAATGGGAAAAGAGATGTAGTGGCACCAATTTCGGCACCCATATTACAGACTGTAGCCATACCCGTACATGATAAATATTCAACACCGGGACCAAAATATTCAATTATAGCACCAGTACCTCCTTTAACAGTCAAAAATACCAGTGATTTCTTAGCAGATGACCATTTTTAATTATCCTTTTATTGTTTAAAAGAAAACCCGAAAATTTAAATATAAGTCATATTTAAATTGTCGGGTTTTCTTTTAGCGACACTCATTTATTATATAAAAAACAGTAGTCTAAACATATCTTGGA